TTCCTCAGCCAGCTGGCTGAGGAATTCTGGGAGTTGAAGTCCACAAATCTTAAAATTGCCAAGGTTGGAGACCCCTGATCTACCTGGATGTCATGTTTCAAGCTCTAAAAGGCTTAGAACCAACATACTATAAGGCAGGGGTGAGCAATTAATTTTCCCCATTGCCCCCACACCACCATGGGCTGGACAGGGACTACTCATGGGCCAGATGTGGCCTGTGGGCCATAAAATGCCCAGGCCTGCTCTAAGGGCAGCTTGTTTCTGGGCCAAGCTACAACACTGCAATGTTTTGCATCAGAGGTCATTCTCTGGGTCATATTTTAGATGTTAGATTCATTTCAAAGACTTTCAAGCATGTTGTTTGTTTACTCAGAATTCCACAACAATCTCAGTGGAACACTTCTCCAACACTTAGGTCTACTATTCTCAAGAGTTTAAAACAGAGTATCCAATCCGTGTCCCCACCCAAGGTCTGTCTGTAGTTCTGAGAGCCCTTCAGAAATTTGTGCCAACTTATACTTTTAATGTAACAAAAAGGAAAATGATGAAACACACAAGTACTAAACTAACTAATTTTAGTTGCATTAATTGTAATGTCAATTTAATTTAATGTAGTTTTTGTTCTGGTCCTTCCCAGTTTCTGTAGTTATAATCCCAGCATGCCATTAAAAGGCCCCAAAAGAGTGAATGGCCCTACCTTAAATCATGCATTTGCTAGGACCAATCATACTTCAATCTTCATGCATAAGACAGCAGTTTCATATGCAAAAGGTTTTTATATTCTGTGTCTTATACAAGTCTCGTGGGAAAGAATTTAACAGTTTTTGGTCTACAAAACAATCAATGGAGAAGCAAAGGCCTCCACCAGGCAGTATGGGAAAGGGAAGAAGATAGGCCTCCTGGGCCCAGAGTTAACAAAATAACTGTTGGATGAACTACCAATTCCCCAAATAAATGTTTTTGTTGGAGCAAGAACTTTTTCTTTACAACATTTGTGGCTTAAATGCATCATATGAAGTGAGCACAAGCTTGCAGCCAGTAATTTAGCCAGTTACTTAAAATCAAATATGTGGTTTCTTGACTTTAGGTCTTGGCCATTTGCCTCCTCTCTCTTTCTGACCTAATCATATCATTTGCCTTCTTCTTTCCATTCGCCTTCCTCCACGGATCTCCACTATTTGCTCTCCCAAATTCCTCTCAATCTCTCTCCTTTCCAGCTGTCCGCTTCCTTAGTCGGGCATTTCTTTTCCCTTTAGGCCTTTGCCAGAAACAGAGCAATCCAGCCGGTGGCAGACAATGACCTTGCCAGCTGACTCCCTTCCCTGTGATATCAGAGGAGTTCAATTAATCACCAGAAGAGGCCATGTCCAATTGTGCAATACAAAGGACCTCACAGGTGATTTTAATTTTAAAATCTCTTTAATTAGATTCTCCAAACCCTTCCCTTCACAATTACACAATTCTAAGTACCAGAAAGCCTGAAATGATAAATGATACCCAGGAAGAAATATAAGCATTTGCAAGTCTCATGAGATGCCCCGAACTGTGTCCACGGATGAAGAGTTCCGATTTGAAACCGATTTCTTGACAATGGGTTCGCACCCAAGCCCCATCAGAAAGAGCAGAGAGGAGACAGGCTACTTCCAGCTTTTGAAGCCCATAGGCATAATAAAATCGCTCTCTCTCTCTCTCTCCCCCCCCCCCCCCCCCCCTGAAACCAAATCAGGTATTCCCCGCATCCCACAGAGTGAGAAATAATTTTGAAGTAAAAATAAGAGGTATTTGAGGTTGCCATTGACTTTGTGGGCCAGGGCCAGACCACATGTCCCTTGCTATCAGACGTAGCTGGTGATTTCAATTTTCAGGCATGCATTGGTCTACTCTACCATCAGCCTGCTTTCTACTACCCTTGCTAAAACATGAGAGGGAACTATTACATTAAAGATTACTTTTGATGGCTGAGTTCATCTGCCGGGCTAGTCTAGACTAGGTACAATGTGGTTGTGCAGTGTGTGGTTCAGCATACAGTGGGAATCCAATGACTGTCTTATATGTCGTTGAAGCAGGCCATAGTGCTAAGCCACAGGATGTTATTTGTTTGGGCAGAGCATGTTATGCGAGCCTAGCGGTTTCATTAACTCAAATTTAGAAGAAGTTTAGCTTACTAAAAAAAAAAAAAAAAAACTCAAGATCAAGCCAAAACATTTCAGCTTTTAAAAACTGACTCATATGGGCTACTTATTTTTGGTACTTCTGGTTTTATTGCAGTAACTGATATTGGTGTTTGTTATGATTCGTATCACATATAACAAACAGAAAGACCTGAGTTCTGACTCTATGACTTGCTAAATAAACAGTCTTAAAACACGTTCTACAAAATCTCATTACAGTATTCAGTTGAGTTAATGAATGACAGCCCAGGAAACCCTGTTCTCACAGTGGCCATGCAGGTGCCTTTGAGTGCTTCTAATCAAAAGATGGAGGTGTCAACCCTGAAGTGAACCTGGCTGAGGCCATCTTGGAGGCTTCAGGGTTGCCACACAACAGAGGGAAGGGGGAAAATAGCTAGATAGGGTTTCGTTGCCAAAACAATAAAGTTTTCCTGTGGGAACCAAGGGCATTCTCACAGGTAGCTGGCCAGAGGAGGAGTGAAGTAATCAAGCGACTGGCCAGCACCTGGATTGGACAGCGTGACCAGTGACTTGGGGGAAAGAGGAAACATTTACTTTTTAATTAGGTGAAAACCATGGGAACTTTCAGAGTCAGTTTTCACCAGTTGTACCAATATGATGTAACCAATAAATTGTTCTTTGAGGAACTTGCCTGCCTCAGAATTCTGCTTTCTATGGGTGCATTACTTGGAATGCTGACAGGAGATATACCCTTCTCTCATCTTTCGGAACACTGTGGAAGAGAAAGGCAGCTTTGGCTGCATTCATCAAAGGAGTAATAGCAATTGCCAAGAGACTGCTGCTTCCCTCCCTATCAAAACGAACACTTGTTTCCAATCAACAGTTGTCTTGAGCCTGCAGAGAAGCAGATTTTGCACTCATCTCTGAGTCTGGAGACGGCTGCTCTTTTTTGCCTCCCAGTAGAACTTCTTGGCAAGGAGTCTCTGGCGGTTGGATGCTGCAGAGAAATTTCCTCAATTGCAACTCTATCCCAGCAAGGCCACCAGTAAAGCACAGCTGATCATAAGAAGTTAAAGCCACTTTTCTACTAAATGTCTCATTCTGACCTTTACAAACTGGTTTCTTGCTTTTCCCTTCCCCTCTGAACCACTGACCTTCAGCATTTTGTTTTTTTACTACGAAAACTTCAATTTCTTTCTGGTTTTTTTTGTTTTTTTTGGTGGTTCATGCAGGTTAGTGGGATTTTTTTTGAAAAGAGGTACTAAAACTCAGAATTCAGGGCTTCCAACACTGCCCCATGCTCCTATTTATTTTCCACAGCAAAATGAAAGGTAGCGGAATCTAGATTAGATAGGAATATATGAATAAAATTGCACCCTACAATTGATATCCTTTTCTGGTTGCTATATACTATTTTGGAAAATTTTTAATTGAAGAGGAACTCATCAATGTCTTAAATAAATGCTGTTGAGCACACATCTATAAAACATTCGCTTTTGTTGCAATGACTCTTCCAGTTAATTTTGTTGGAAACCTTATATGCTCAGTTAATGAATTGATGATAAATCCAGAAAAGTTGAATTCCAATAATTTGGGGCTAATGAAGGAAAGATATACAATACAAAAGTTGTTGAAGCATAAGAAATCAGAAGGGAATTAATATGTAAACTCCAGGGAAAACTAAAAATGAGGATGAAATTTTTAAAAATCACATTTTTTTCTCTCTGGCTACACAACTACTTATTTATTTGGCGCACCAAATACCTCATAAACACCCTTAGGAATCTTACAGTGTTATTCTAGAGAACTGTCTGTAGAATGTTACTTTATAAAAATGTTTTGCGAAGTTTTAGATATTGTGGCAAGTCACACTGTGGTTGTTCTCCCTCCACCTATATTGCTCTTTTCTATGATTTAGACATTGAAAAACAAACTGCACAACAAGAAAAAGGCAAAGAGTTAAACCTGACAATTTAAATAAACACAAATAATTCCAGGAAAAGGAAAGCAGCTTTTTAACATATCAGAAATAAATAGAAGTTTACCCGCCCCCGTCACAGGTACACACCTGTTCCGTTAGAAAGAGAAACATATAGCACAATAAGGCAACAGATTTCATAATGAAGCAGCTGATTACCTGAGCTTGCACATCCCTGCTGAAGGGAGTCTTGCAGTGATGACATAGAGTGAAGGACTGGAGAAAGAAAAGGAGGATGATAAGAAAGAGATATGAGAGAAGATTCCATTTGAAAGCAAAGCAAGTACCAGAAAATTGCTGATCAAAGCAAAGCAGCATAGTAAAACCACCTGGTCTCCACTTTTTTTAAAAAATATCAGGAGCTCCAGATTAGCCAGACTGCAAGTTCTCATACCCTCTGATTATTGGCCAAAATAGCTGCGGCTGATGGGATTGCGGTAACTATGGAAATTTAATTTAATAGTTAAACCGAACATTACATTTGGATCTATCCAGATTTCCTATTTTATTAGTCTGGTTCAGATGATAAGCTCCTATGCTACGCTTGCTCTTTACAATGAAGCAAAGAGGCAGGATGGAGTCTACACACAGCTCTCTGATTTTTCCAAGGTTTGGATATATCCATGACAGTTGTGGACAAACTATGGCTAAGGAGCTCTGGGTAGCCCCAACTCCCTTGTTTGCTTGTTTGCTTGTTTTTGCCTTAGTTGTCTAGTTTCTCACACTCGCACTTTGTAAACTCCCATGTCTCTGGATGCTACGTAATAGCATAGAATATAGCTTTCTTGGTTTCATGTACAAATGTAAGGATTTTAGGCAACCAGATACTTTACAGTAATTATTACCTCAAGACCTTTTTGAGAGAGCATGCATGCACACGCACGCACACACAAATACAGATCCCCCAATTTTGGCAAAAGAGGGAGAATGTGGCGTTGGATGAGGATCATCTGCAAAATAATCTCTAGGCCTTATCTATTTATTCTTTATGATGTTACTGGGAATGTGACAGTAGATTTCTGACTTAATCAGAACAGATCCAAATTAAAATCACATCAATTTTGAGCGCCTGACAAAAGTCTTCTTATACAGATATACAGGGGTCTGTCTGGGGAGGAAGGAGAATCAAGCTACTTTCCTGTTAGTTCTTAATTAAAGAACTTTCTTCATTAAAAGCAAGGCCTCCCCCAGCCTAATTCATTTCTTGTTATTATTTAACAACCACTAAAGGTTCACTTTGCAGGTTGAAAAAAAGGGAAAAGATTTGTGTGTATGTGTTGCAACCTGAGTTCCCAGCAAGCTTTAAGAGTCCCAAGAAGTCCCAGCATTGAGAAGCACGATAAAGAAAAATGCAATTTTAAGAGTTTTCCAAATGTAAGCTACTTTCATCGGTCCCAAAATTTTTCAGAACTTCCCCGAGAAGACTACTTTGTATTTTAAAGTATTTTAAGGGGAAATATCTCCTGCCTTAATGTAGTTTCTAGAGGCACATCAACCTTTGTCTGTTTTGGGATATGGTCAGGGGTGGGATTCAAATTTTTTAATGACCGGTTCTGTGGGCGTGGCTTAGTTGGTGGGCATTGCTTGGTGGTCATGTGACTGGCTGGGTGTGGCCAAGTCAATATCACTCACATCGAGGCACGCATCTCCTCGCCTGGCCTCTCATGACTGTGGGGATGCTGAAACAGTTGTAAGTGTGAAAAATGGTCATAAGTCACTTTTTTCAGTGCCATTGTAACTTTGAATGGTCACTCTACATAAGCGAAGTACCAGCAAAGGAACAAAAAAAAAAAACTCCAGAGAAGTTCCTGAAATAGGAAGTCCAGTCCTGTCAAGAACGTAATAAAGGTCAACAGAGAGGCAGTTTCTATAAGGAACACCAGAATGTTTCCTTCTTGCCTTCCTTACAGGATTAGGCCAGTAATTCTTTTCTAACAATTGGTTCTCCGAACTGCTTAGAATGTTAACAACCAGTTCTAGAGAATAGGTGCGAACCTGTAGAATCCCACCCCTGGATATGGTGAATTCAAATAAAGATCAACTGGGATAATCACAGCCCTTTCCAATGCCCGATGTAACTGATATCCATAATTCCCAGGGTGTGTTACCTTAGTGGGCTGTGATTCATGAGTTATTGGCGAGATGGGCAGCACATAAATTAAATAAATAAGTAACAGATAAATAATTGATAAAATGCTTATGTCATCACAAGCTTATGGGGTTCACAAAACATTAAGCTGTTTTTACCACATTTATGCATTCCACACACCCTTGAACTCATCCCGCCAAAAAAAAAGAAAACAAAAGGAATTGCCATCTCTGTGCAAGGAGTTGAGAAGTCTTGGACTTAAAGTACAGGCTGGGGACAAACTGATCCTCTAAATCAAGTTTAAGATGGGTGGACTCCCACAATTCCTCAGTCAGTCCACATATCTTAAAATAGTTGAAGTTGAGAAACAGTACTCTAAATGAAAGGTTTAAAAAAATCAAGGAGAACACGGTGTGATCTGAAGCCCAGTACAGTTTGTTCCTTTACCTTGGCCTTGGGTTTGCCCTTGAGATGGCAAGACTCCCTGTCCGAGTTCGCCATTTAGCCACAGCTGCATACGAATGAATGGCTCACGCCCCTTCTGTGTCAACTTGCTCCATGGCTTTGGCCGAGACAGCATGTCGCTGACGCTGCCCTGGGAAAGACCCAGCACCTGACAGGAAACAACCACAGAAAGCTTCATTACAATGGGAAAATCAGTTGTTTGATTACACTGGTCTTTACCCAATTTCATGATACTAGTAGTTCTTATGCTCTGATTCTTTAGCACAGGCATTAAACAGCAACAAGAAAAAGATCTAAAAGGATTTGCTCAGGCCTGGAATTCTAGATCCACTGAATTGGCAACCATGTGGCTTCTCAGTCCTGAAGCCAAAACTTCATAGCTTCTTTCCTCAATAAATTCATGCTTAGTTCTCCTCGCTCAAGTTTTTTTCCCCCAATTAACTTCCCAAAAAGCATTTGAATATTTCCTACTGTTGAATGATCCGAAGAAAGATGTGGAGTCTAGTGCAAATCATTGCAGCTCATTTCTGCCAACTTCTGTTTTAGCATATTATAGGGTAGCGGATACGGTTGTTGATGTTTCTTTATTGGTGTATTTTATTTTATTTTTAAACTAAAACTTTTTAGCTTTGAGTTTCTCTGAGCCCTTTTTTTACTGGAAAGAGGAGAAGCAAACATAAGGCTGGAAATGGGATGATACATTCCATGACTCCAAACTATCTCCATGATATGCTTACTCATGTGATTTTACTTCATTCATTCCATATATAAGAATACCAAAGAAAGAAAGCATTTCGAAAAGGACAGGGGGAATGCCTACAAGTTAACTTTGGTAGGATGCAAACAGGAAGACAATGAAAGAAGCCTCGCATTAAACAATCATTGCCAGTTAAATAACACCAATATACCAGGCTGAGTTTCTTGCTGTATCTCTCACTGCATTTTAAAAGCAGTGGACACATCTATGCACCCCAATGTCATCTATGCCAGATGACATAATTCAGGGCTACCTATGTTTGCACTAATATTCTATTCCTGAAATCACTCAAGGTGGCAACATATCATGCAGGAATAGAGTCTTTTCATTTTTTGTAAAATGCAATCATCTAAGAATTGACTGCTTTTCTTCCCCCCCCCCCCTTTTTAAAAACAACAACAACAACCCATATTCTAGAATGTGCAGTAAAATATTGAAAATGTGTGACAACGTTTGGCAACAGTTATTCCAGTAATTTGAATGTAAAGATAAAATAAAACCAGTCTGAGAAAGAGACATGGGGTCCTTATAGAAGAGCTTCTGATTTATTGCATGAACATCTCAGTCATTATCCAGTCACTTCCTATGGGAGTTGCAACAAATAGCAAAGCCAAGTGATTGGCATCGTTCCTCTAATCCAATGTTCCTCAATGTCAGAAATTTTAACCTATGTAGGCTTCAACTCCCAGAATTCCTCCAGCCAGGCAGGCTAAGGAATTCTGGGAGTTTAAGTCCAAACACCTTAAAGTTCATGAGGTTGAGAAACACTGTTCTATTCTGTGATAATCCCAAAATCCCATGCTAGCCTGCTCATCAGAGTGGCCATATGCTTAAGTGGTAGGACGCCCCCATCTTTCAAAGCTCTGCAGAAGGTATCTCAGCAGGTTTTGCTTCTTGTGCAAAAATGCAAGATGTGTAACAAATTCCTTCCATCCTAACAAATGTCCCCTGAAAGGGACATTCAAGATGTGATAGCCCCATCCATTTCTGTATTTGTCTGTTCTGATTCTGCAGGCATGTAAGCATATGGAATTGTGGGTACTGTGGTGGTGGGAAGAAAGATGCTAATCACTTAGTCTTGAATCTGGATGCCACAAACATCGTATCTGCTTTTTGTTTGCTTCTTTAAAAAAAAAAACTCCAAGCTTCTCCAGTCTTGAAGGGTGATGACCAAATCGGGTGGCGAACAAAAAAATCCACCTGATTTTTGAATTTCTTTTTCGGTGCCATTTTTTTTTAACTGCACGCATGCGCAGTCGGTCGTGCTTCCGCACATGACCAATCGGATTGCGACCGGAGTCTGGGAATGGATTATGGTCGTGACCCTAAGCTCCACTGTACGACCATTTTTCATACTTACATGTAACGTAAACAACATTCAGGAGCTTGGTAATTGATTCATATTTATGACGGTTGCAGTGTCCTGGGGTCATGTGATCCCCTTTTGCAACCTTCTAACAAGCAAAGTCAAGGGGGCAGCCAGGTTCACTTGACAACCATTTTACTAAGTTGACAACTACAGTGATTCACTTAACAACTGTGGTACAAAATATCATACAGTGGGGCAAAACTCAAGTTAATGTCTCATTTAGCAACATAAATTTTGGGCTCAACTGTGGTTGTAAGTCATGGACTACCTGTATAAATTAAGCATTTCCCTTTTTATGTCAATCTTAACCCACTGCTGTCAGATGTTGATGACTGATACAGAAACCGCCGTAATATTCCACTTGAGAGCCTTACCTTTTCCCCAAATATCCTTTGGCAGATGCCGTTTTTTGCTAGCTTCTCTTTGACCTGACGGGTTAGATCTATCGTATCCACTTCTTGGTACATGTAAATCTCGTACTGCTCAGGGGTCAATGGAGGAACGGAAGGCTTAGATGGCTTTGATAAAGGAACAATGGGGGAAGAAGGAAGGGGGCTGTTCTGGGGCGTCTCACTGCGACTTGCCCCTGTCACACTCAGTTCAGAGCTCTGAGAATAGGGAGATTCTGCGTTGGGCCACTCTTTCCAATATTCCGAGGAGGAGGGCCCTTGGAGTTGCTGGTTACGGTCCGAACGAGCTTGGTTGCTGGCCTTCTCTTTCCCACTGGTGCTTTCCTCCATTTTGGGATCTTCTGGAGGAGCTGTGTTCCTTCTGTCAGGTTGCACAGTATTCCACCAATGGTCCTTCCATACCCCACTGCGCCCCAGTTCATTTTTAACATGCCTCAGTACACCTTGTGCTGAGTCAGGCATCCCGTGAAGGTCTAGAAGGGAGGCCTCTTGGGCTTCCTTCTTGAGACCGGGGACA